GTGCCAGTGCCAATTTAACCGGCGGGGTGAACATCCAATACCGGATGAAAGGTTTTTTCAACACAAGACTACTCCAGGCAGGAACAAAGGTGTCGGCAGCTTCCATTACTGAACTTCAGTATACAGGCGCCTCACCCTTGTCGCTCACACTGAACGCGACCTACAGGAGATCCTGAACACCTACGCAGATGCTTATGCACACCTAGGCCTTGTGGTGAATGTACAATACATAAGACTCAGATTCTCTTTCACCCTGCCCCTGGTTCAGCCACACCTTCACAATCCATCCAGCTTAACGGTATTACCCTCTCTAATGTTGCCCACTTTCAGTATTTCGGCTCCCACCTGTCCACTACTGCGGACATCAAGAAGAGATTCAACATCGGTTCAGATGTACATCTCAAGCCTTTGGCAGACTCCTTACCCGTATCATAAGCTGTAGGGGGCTGAAATTATTTACAAAGTTGCACAGTGCAGTGGTCCTCCCCTCCCTGCTATATGGCAGTGAGACATTGATCACATACAGGAGGCACCTCAAGGCACTTGAAAACTTTCACCAACGTAGTCTACGTTCCATCCTCCGAGTTCTCTGGGAAGACAAGAGAACAAATGCCAGTATTCTCACTGACACAAACTGTAGGAGCATCAAGGCTACCATTATCCATGAACAACTATGCAGGACTGACCATGTTACCCGCATGGACGACAGTAGACAGCCGAAGCATCAGCTACTTTCCAGTCACCTAACGAACAGTAAACGTAACGCTGGCGGGCAACTGAAAAGGTATAAGGATAGTCTTAAGACAAACCTGAAAAAGTGCCAAATCGATCCCCTCACCTGGGAGACGATTACTCCACTCCGTAACACTTGGAGGAGCACCACACGAGAAGGTGTAAATACTCTCGAGTTAGCCAGACTGCATACTGAGGCACTCAAGCGCCAACGCCGGAAAGGCGCTGAAGCCGCCCCTCCCGCACTAGATGTAGCCCCCATCATGTACAACATCTGTGATCGACCTTGCCGGTCCCGAATCGGTCTCTTTCGTCACCTCAGAACTCACATCCATAGACAACAAACTAAATTGGAAACCACACGTCAGTGAAGTTGTCAAATCCTCTAGTTTCCGTCTCCACCTCCGCCGACTCAAGTCCCTCGGAGTTTCTGCACCCGAGCTCCTCAGTGTTTACACAACATTCATACTTCCCAAGCTCACCTATGCCTCCCCTACCTGGTCTTCCTCCCTAAATGCCACACAACGTAAACACCTAGAAAAAGTGCAAAAGAGGTGCATGCAAGATTATTCTCTCCCCTTCCTACTCCACATATCAAGAAGCGCTTAACACACTGACCCTTTCGACTCTCACTGACCATCACCACGACCTCATCAGCAAATTTGGTAAGAAGCTTCTACACCATCCTCGACACCGGCTCCTACTACCACCTGAGATCCCTAGCCCGAGAATTGCTGTTCGACACCACAACCGCATCCAGTCCATACGTGCAAGAACTGATCGCTATAAGAACAGCCCAGTCCCAACCATTGTAAAAATTATCTATAACTTGTAATAAACCAGTGTATTCACTCCCAGTAAACACTACTCCTTGCACTGTCACTATGTTGAAATTCCCTGTAGTTTGAGCTTTTCCCCATCTAGTTATTATATATCTTATTTGTATCACTTATGTTACTTGTATATTATTTGTAATTCGTAACCCATTCCCCAAATATGTAACTGTATATTTTCAGCCTTCTGGCTGCCAAGCTCTTTCAATAAACCGTTAATTATTATTATTATTATTATTTTATATCATTGTATCATAGCTGGATGATCGTCATACTCGATTCCGAGTGACAACAAAGTAGTAGTAGTAATATGTGTCAAGGAGTTATACCACAGAGCAGTACTACTTGTGGTTGTGATTATGTTTGCATCTGAATTTGTTTTTGTGATTGAGCGTAGTTTGTTAATTATTGACTTTGTTATTTTTAATAACAAACATTGTTATGCTATTGATTACACACACACACACACACACACACACACACACACACACACACACACACACACACACACACACACACACTATAATATCAATAACATACTCAATAAAATTCTTTGGTTTTAAAAATACAAAAAACACAAACACTGTAGTGTATATTTTCATCATCTCACCGACGTCACCAACGTTGGTAAATCCCAGTAAATTTGTTGGACTTGTTCATAGATGGAAAAATCAAATGTGTTCGGGGTGTCTCATCCGCTGGACCTGGCAACACTGACGCACTTTTAGTACTGGAGTTTGATTGTCTTGTCATTCTGTGGAGGGAAAAATTGTCTAACTGTATTTTGCTTCATACCGAGTCACAAACACACTTATAAAATGAGGTGTGTGTGTGTGTGTGTGTGTGTGTGTGTGTGTGTGTGTGTGTGTGATAACAATAATGAACGATTTATTGAAAAGCACAGCGACCAGAGACTGAAAATATACAATGGACAAAAAATTACTTACAGTATTAGGTATGAGAGCATTGGGGAGTGAAGTATTTAACAAAAGCTTTAAAGACAAAAAGGAGACATGGAGTTAACATACAAGTTAAATATGAATCAATGATAATTTGTTGTTGTAGAGGGAACACGTGATTGTAGGCCTCACTTGGTGGTGGTGTTGTAGAGGAAACACGTGATTGTAGGCCTCCCTCTGTGGTGGTGTTGTAGAGGAAACACGTGATTGTAGGCCTCCCTCTGTGGTGGTGTTGTAGAGGAAACACGTTATTGTAGGCCTTTGGTGGTGGTGTTGTAGAGGAAACACGTTATTGTAGGCCTCCTCTGGTGGTGTTGTAGATGAAACACGTTATTGTAGGCCTCCTCGGTGGTGGTGTTGTAGAGAAACACGTTATTGTAGGCCTCCCTCTGTAGTGTGTTAGAGGAAACACGTGATTGTAGGCCTCCTCTGTGGTGTGATGAAACACGTTATTAGGCCCCTCGGTGGTGGTGTTGTAGATAAACACGTTTGGCCCTCTGTAGTGTGTAGAGGAAACACGTGATTGTAGGCCTCCCTGTTGGTGGTGTTGTAGATGAAACACGTTATTGTGGCTTCCCTCGTTGGTGGTGTTGTTGATGAAACACGTTATTGTAGGCCTTCCCTGTTGGTGGTGTTGTAGAGGAAACACGTTATTGTAGGCCTCCCTCTGGTGGTGGTGTAGATGAAACACGTTATTGTAGGCCTCTCTCGTTGGTGGTGTTGTAGAGGAACACGTTATTGTAGGCCTCCTCGGTGGTGGTGTTGTAGATGAAACACGTGATTGTGGCCTCCCTCTGTGGTAGAGGAAACACGTTATTGTGGCCTCCCTGTTGGTGGTGTTGTAGATGAAACACGTTATTGTAGGCTTCCTCGTTGGTGGTGTTGTAGAGGAAACACGTTATCGTAGGCCTCCTCGGTGGTGGTGTTGTAGATGAAACACGTTATTGTAGGCCTTCCTCGTTGGTGGTGTTGTAGAGGAAACACGTTATTGTAGGCCTTCTCGTTGGTGGTGTTGTAGAGGAAACACGTTATTGTAGGCCTCCCTGGTGGTGTTGTAGAGGAAACACGTTGTAGGCCTCCTCGTTGGTGGTGTTGTAGAGAAACACGTTATTGTAGGCCTCCTCGGTGGTGTTGTAGAGAAACACGTTATTGTAGGCCTCTCGGTGGTGGTGTTGTAGAGGAACACGTTATTGTAGGCCTCCTCGTTGGTGGTGTTGTAGAGGAAAACGTTATTGTAGGCTCTCGGTGGTGGTGTTGTAGATGAAACACGTTATTGTAGGCCTTCTCGTTGGTGGTGTGTAGAGGAAACACGTTATTGTAGGCCTCGTGGTGGTGAGGAAAATTGTCGTGGTGGTGTTGTAGAGAAACATATTGTAGGCCTCCTGGTGGTGGTGTTGTAGATGAAACTCGTTATTGTAGGCCTCCTCGTTGGTGGTGTTGTAGATGAAACACGTTATTGTAGGCCTTCTCGTTGGTGGTGTTGTAGAAATGCTCTGTGGTGGTGGTAGAGGAAACACGTTATTGTAGGCCTCTCGTTGGTGGTGTTGTAGAGAAACACGTTATTGTAGGCCCTCGGTGGTGGTGTTGTAGATGAAACACGTTATTGTAGGCCTCCCTCGTTGGTTGTGTTGTAGAGGAAACACGTTATGTAGGCCTCCTCTGTGGTGGTTTTGTAGATAATGCCAAGTTGATTTTCGCAGTCCCCCTCCCTCCTGTGCGTGGTAAAGACCTACATTGTAAACAATGATTGCGATAACTTGCAGAGTTTCCTGGGACCACCTCACCGTTTCTGCACCACTTTTATTCGCTGTTATTGTTTTCCGTTGATCAATCCTTGCACTGGTTTCTTGGTGGGGAGGAGGGGAGGAAGTCACATGTTGACACCCAGGCAGCTCCCGGTATGAAACTCGATGTCTCGTCTCAACCGTGTCAGATCTTCGTGTGTTTGTGTGTGTGCACGCGCACCTGAGGATTCTACTCCTGAACACTTGAACATTCTATCTTACATTGAACGCTGAAAACACCTGGAAGGTGAACCAGATTGCATGTAAAAGACCAATACACTGTATAACACACCTTAACGCGCCTCACTTAACTACACTGGCAGGTTACTCCTCTGTGCCACACATTGTTTTTATTGTATGGCAGCAGTCAACTGAGAGTCAAGTAAAAGTTAGTCGATGGTCACTTGAGTGTCACTACAGGTGCTGAATTTCAAGATGATAAGTGATAGTTAGAGCCTTTATATAGAGTCTTTTATATAGAGTCTTTTATATAGAGTCTTTTATATAGAGTCATTTATATAGAGTCTTTTATAAGTCAAACGAATACCTGAACTAAAGGATAAATTAGGTTAATCTCAACCAGATTTTTGGAGAGTGAACTTTAGTTGTCAACTTTTCAGTTCAAACTTTGGACAGGACCCCGAACTTAAGACTCGACTTATAGATTAATCTTGAACTTTAACCATCCCCAGGAGGACACAGTCTCCTGGGACGGGGAGCTGAGTGTTGTGGCGGAGACCATCCCACACCAACACGCCATCCAGGGGGACCTGACGCAGCTCCAGCAGGCCATGTCGCTGGATGGCCGTATCTAGAGCCTAACCACCAAGCTTCTCGACCATCGTGTCCTACACCGCCTTCTCGTGACCCTCCACGACCTTTGGGAAACCGAGACGCTTAGTCAGGAGGAGGTGAGTGATCTGTGGAACTGATGGAAGAAGGAAACTAGCCAAAAAGAATGGAGAGAGAGAGAGAGAGAGAGAGAGAGAGAGAGAGATCAACAACATGGTGAATGGTGCCTTTTACACCTCGTTGGGTAAACATATACAAGTTACTGAAAATAACAAAATCCCGATTCAAACTTTGTCGTGAATAATTCTACCGAAGTTTCCTTTGAACGTTCAAATAAGAAATCCTCTTACATATACCTGTTAATTATGCACATTTTAACCCATAGTGATTAATATTGTTCTGTATGACATTGTTAACAAAGCAATTAAATGTTTGACAGAAACAAAAAAAATAATGTATCAAAGAGAAATTATTCTCCTTCCTTCTGTCTTTACCTCATCTCCCTTCTCCTCCTTTAATCACTCTCATTATTCACTACTTATTTTTTTCATTCTTCATCTTACTTTCTATCATTATCGTCTTGTCTCTTCTCTCTTCACCATGCCATTTCCCTTCCCTAAACTCTCTCATTATTCAGCACTCCTCCTCCTCTTCCTCCTCCACCACCGTCGTCGTTTCACCTCCATCGAACAAACTCAATACAAAGGGAACTCACCTCCCTAAATATTAGACCACTTTCCTGTCGTTTCTTAATGAGAATATTGTACACCGATGAAGTGAAAAATGGGTAGGTAGGGAGGTAGGGAGGAATGGAATAGGGGAGGATGGAGGGGAGATGGAGGTAGGGAGGGATGGAGGTAGGGAGGGGTAGGGGAGGTAGGAGGTAGGGAGGGATGGAGGTAGGGGAGGAATGGAAGTAGGGGAGGGATGGAGGTAGGGAGGGATGGGAGGTAGGGGAGGGATGGAGGTAGGGAGGTAGGGGAGGTAGGAGGTAGGGGAGGTAGGGAGGTAGGGAGGGATGGAGGTAGGGGAGGTAGGGGAGGAATGTAGGTAGGGGAGAGATGGAGGTAGGGAGGGGATGGGAGGGAGGGGAGGTAGGGGAGGGATGGAGGTAGGGGAGGAGGGGAGGTAGGAGGGATGGAGGTAGGGAGGGATGGAGGTAGGGAGGATGGAGGTAGGGGAGGGATGGAGGGAGGATGGAGGGAAGGATGGAGGTGGGAGGATGGAGGTAGGGAGGGATGGAGGTAGGGGAGGGAAGGAGGGAGGGATGGAGGAGAGAGGATGGAGGTAGGGAGGGATGGAGGTAGGAGGGATGGAGGTAGGAGGATGGAGGTAGGAGGATGGAGGTAGGAGGGATGATGGTAGGGAGGGATGGAGGTAGGAGGATGGAGGTAGAGGGATGGAGGGAGGATGGAGGAGAGATGGGAGGAGGATGGATAGGGAGGGATGAGGTAGGAGGGGATGGAGGTAGGAGGGATGGAGGTAGGAGGATGGTAGGAGGATGGAGGGAGGATGGAGGTAGGGAGGATGGAGGTAGGGGAGGGATGGAGGTAGGAGGGATGGAGGAGGAGGGATGGAGGTAGGAGGGATGGAGGTAGGAGGATGGGAGGTAGGAGGGATGGAGGAGGGGAGGGATGGAGGTAGGGAGGGATGGAGGTAGGGAGGATGGAGGTAGGGAGGATGGAGGTAGGGAGGATGGAGGTAGGGGAGGATGGAAGAGGCACAGGAGGGAAGCGGGAGGAGGATGGGCACAGGAGGGGGTGAGGAGGAAGGGGAAGGAGGGGAGGGAAAGAGGGAGGAAGTAGGGAGGGAGGAGTGAAGTAGGGGAGGGAGGAGGAAGTAGGGAGGGGAGGGGAGTGAAGGGAGAGAGGGAGGAAGAGGGGAGAGAGGGAATGAAGTAGGGAGGGAGGGTAAGGGGGAGGAAGGAGGAAGTATTGAGGGGAGGTAGGGAAAGAGGGAGAGAAGTAGAGAGAGAGGGGAGGAAGAGGGGAGGGGAGGGAGGAAGTAGGGAGAGGAGAAGGGAGAGAGGGAGTGGAGTAGGGAGGAGGTGAAGTAGAGGGAGGGATGAAGTAGGGAGAGAGGGAGGAAGTAGGGGAGAGAGGGAGGAAGGGAGAGAGGAGTGAAGGGAGGGGGGAAGAGGGAGAGAGGAGGAAGATGAGAGGGGAGGGAAGTAGGGAGAGAGGATGAAGGTAGGGAGAGAGGAGGAAGTAGAGAGAGGGAGGAAGAAGGAGAGAGGAGGAAGAGGAGGGGGGGAAGTAGGAGAGGAGGAAGATTGAGGAGGAAGTAGGGAGAGAGGGATGAAGTAGGGAGAGGAGTGAAGTAGGGAGAGGTGAAGGGGAGAGGAGGAAGGGGAGGAGGGGTGAAGTAGAGAGGGAGTGAAGTAGAGGAGAGAGTGAAGTAGAGGAGGGGGAGGGGAGAGAGGGAGGAAGTAGGAGAAGGGAGGAGGAGGAAGGAGAGAGAGGGGAGGAAGTAGGGAGGAGGGGAGTGAAGTGGGGAGGGAGGGAGGAAGTAGGGGAGAGAGGGAGGAGAGGGGAGGAAGTAGGAGGAGAGGTGGGTAGGGGAGGAAGGAGTAAGTATTGAGGGTGGGGGTGAAGTAGGGAGAGAGGAGAAGGAGAGAGGGTGAAGTAGGGAGAGAGGGTGAAGTAGGAGGAGAGGGTGAAGTAGGGAGGAGAGGGAGTGAAGTAGGGAGAGAGGAGTGAAGAGGGGAGGAGGGGTGAAGTAGGGGAGGAGGGGAGGAAGTAGGGAGGGAGGAGGAAGAGAGAGAGGAGGAAGGGAGAGAGGGAGTGAAGTAGGGGAGAGGAGGAAGTAGGGAGAGGGAGGAAGGGAGGAGGGTGGGAGGAGAGGAGGAAGTATTGAGGGGGAAGAGAGGGAGGAAGTAGGAGAGAGGAGGAGAGAGGTGAAGTAGGAGGGAGGGAGTGAAGTAGGGATTGAGGGAGTGAAGTATTGAGGAGGGATGAAGTAGAGAGGAGTGAAGTAGGGAGAGGAGTGAAGTAGGGGAGGGATGGAGGGAATATTGAGGAGGGATGGTAGGGAGAGAGGGAGTGAAGTAGGGGAGAGAGGAAGAGGAGGAGGTGAAGTATTGGAGGGGTGAAGGGGAGAGGGGAGTGAAGTGGGGAGGAGGGGTGAAGGGGAGAGAGGGAGGAAGTAGGGGAGAGAGGGCGTGAAGTAGGGAGGAGGGAGGAAGTAGGGAGGAGAGTGAAGGGCTGAGGGGAGGCAGGAAGTATTGAGGAGGGGTGAAGTAGGGGAGAGAGAGGAAAGGAGAGAGGGAGAAGTAGGGGAGAGGAGGAAGTAGGGGAGAGAGGGAGAAGGAGGAAGAGAGGGAGTGAAGTAGGGGATTGGAGGGGAGTGAAGTATTGAGGAGGATGAAGAGGGGAGAGAGGGGAGGAAGGGGAGAGAGGGAGGAAGTAGGGGAGGATGGAGGAAGTATTGAGGAGGGATGAAGTAGGGAGAGAGGGAGGAAGAGGAGAGAGAGAGTGGGGTGAGGGGAGGCAGGAAGTATAGGGAGGAGTGGAGGAGAGAGGTGAAGAGGAGAGGGAGAAGTAGGGAGAGAGGGAGGAAGGAGGAGGGAGGAGGTATTGAGGGAGGGGGTGAGGGGAGAGAGAGTGAAGTAGGGAGAGAGGGAGTGAAGTATTGAGGGAGGCAGTGAAGTATTGAGGAGGCAGGAAGTATTGAGGGAGCGAGTGAAGTAAGGAGAGAGGGAGGAAGTAGGGGAGAGGGAGGAAGTAAGGAAAGGGGAGGAAGTAGGAGAGAGAGAGTGAAGTAGGGGAGGGAAATGGGTGAGTAGGGAGAGAGGGAGTGAAGAAGGGAGGAAGGTGAGGTAGGGAGGGGAGGTAGCATTAATTGGAATGGGTAATGAGGAAGTTCAATGAATAGTTATCAGGAGCTGCTGTGGAAGACCTAATGTCGACGTATCGCTGAGTTTGTCGGAGTGATCAGCTGAGTTTTCGACATTGATTACCTGAGTTTGTCAACATTTTGATTTACATTGATTACCTGAGTTTGTCGACAGTGATCAGCTGAGTTTGTCGACATTATTACCGAGTTTGTCAACATTGATTACCTGAGTTTGTCAACATTGATTACCTGAGTTTGTCAACTGATTACCCTGAGTTTGTCGACAGTGATCAGCTGAGTTTGTCGACATTGATTAGCTGGAGTTTGTCGACAGTGATCAGCTGAGTTTGTCGACAGTGATCAGCTGAGTTTGTCGACAGTGATCAGCTGAGTTTGTCGACATTGATTACCTGAGTTTGTCGACATTGATTATCTGAGTTTGTCGACATTGATCAGCTGAGTTTGTCGACATTGATTACCTGAGTTTGTCGACAGTGATCACTGAGTTTGTCGACATTGATCAGCTGAGTTTTTTTACAGTTTTTTTACGGGAGATAACTGACAAGGTTCTACCCTAATAACGTGATAACTGGTTTAAAAGAAAATTTGGTAAGAACTCTCCTCTGTGATAAACCTTCCCCAGGATTGTTACAGTACATTACAATATATAGTTAAAGGTACTGAGTTAATTTAAAACGATCAGTCATTGATGATGAGAACGTCTTGAAATGGAAAATGTAGGGTCGCTTGACAGTGAATGAACGAATGGGAAGGAAAGTTTCTCTCTTCGGTGAGTGACAAGGGAAAGTCTTATCAAACCAATAAACTTGGCTAAGATTAAGGACCTCCGCCCTGTCCTTGAACACAGTCATATATAACGTCCTAAACCTTCGGCTATGACGTCACAAAGGATATGGTCTGTGATTGGTCAGAGTCGGTCACATATTCTGCCTCGGGTTGCCATATTCCTTCCTCTGACAAAGTTGGCGAACGTAAGTTCGCGGCAGCAGCCTCTATGAGACGTGACGTGACCGGATGATATTACCGAGTTTAAGCGAATTAATTTAGGATGATAATGAAGTGAAGTAAATTATTTAGAGTATTATTAACAGAATAAACAAGGGAGGAGTGCCAGAATGAGCACGAAGGGCAGAATAAACAGGAAGGGAGGTGCCAGAATACAGGAGGTGCTGAATAAACAGGAAGGTGCCAGAATAAAAGGAAGCCAGAATGAGCAGGAAGGTGCCAGAATGAGCAGGAGGTGCCAGAATAAACAGGAAGGTGC